AAAGACAGTGAGCTTCTGGAAAAGGTTCAGAGAACGGCGACTAAGCTGGTTCCCGGAATAGCGAAGCTTCCGTATGAATCTCGACTGGCCAAGCTGAACCTTTTCCCGTTGTCATATCGCAGAACTAGAGGCGACTTGATTACAGTCTACAAATTGCTTAGTGATAAATTTGCACCTAACATGCCCTCATTTTTCTTGTCTTCCAAAACAGAGAATTTACGAGGACACTCCAAAAAAGTTCACAAGCCGAGAACAAATTACTTGTCAGCTGACTATCGACTTTCCCATCGAATCATCAACGAGTGGAATTCACTACCTCAGCACGTGGTTGAGGCTCCATCCGTCGACTCTTTCAAAAGAAAGTTGGATCAACTGAGAGACCACCATTGCCAGGACTAACATAGGCCATCGAGCCTCCTGTCCTTCCCAAACTGAAACTGAAATACCTTGTGCTGAGAATTTTATATTGTGCCAAAATATAATATTGAATAAATCCATTAATAACAATAATAATAATAAGTAGATCCATAAAACTACTTAAATTGGTGGTCCATAGAACAAAGTAAAAGGTTATTAAGTGGTTGTTGCTAATTTAGGGATGGTAAACGTCTAAATACAGTTAACCAATCCAACAAAATTTCCCCATACGAGGAATACTGACGTTCTGTTATTCATTTGTTCAGCTACTGCATAACAAAAAAGTATTTACTAATCCTCCGCGAGACGATTTCGAAAGTTGCGAGTTTCTCATCTTCTTCACTTCACCGAGTCCTCCTTTTCGAAGAATTATCTCGAATAATGTTTGCTCGTTTGGCCTTAGTTCGAGCGCAACCATAGATCACTTGACAGAAAACGAGATAAGATTTTTCTAACGGAAAAAACTCAAAGTATATAAATGATCAACAATCGTTATTCTGAATGTCACTATTCTTTCGTGTTTTTTTATTCAATCTTTAACATAGGTTGTTTGCATTTTCACATTGTATAAGCTTGATCTTGATTTAGTTTGGTACTTGCGAAATCCTCCTCTGAAAATCTAAAATTAGAAGGCTTTTATTGAAATTGCCACAATTATTATCAGAAGAATATCTGTGAGTTGATCACTTGCAATTTATGAACAAAATTTTGGTACTTGAACTTGAATTAGACTTTCTTGTTGTCTGGGCCGAAAGCTACGAGAGTGGTGACCTACCGCCCTTCAAGGACGGAATAGAGTAGATTTTGGACGTAACAGCTGTATATAACTTAAACTAGGGTGCTTGCAATCTCTCCTTTCATATGGAAGACTGCCAAATTATTTTGCCATTAAATAAACATACTACTTCCTAACCTAAACGTTTACTTTCTGTTCATGCAGCTTTTCACAAGTTGGTAATTCACACTATTAGGACTGTGTTGTTTATTTTTCGGTGTTTTCAAATGTAGTATGAATTCCATACGATATATTTTTGTGTTATGTTTCTAAGCTCGTTTGTTAATCTAAGAAAAGTTAGGTTTCTGGAGGACTGAAACCTAAATAATAATCTTTTTACGATCAGGATTTAACTAAATGCCCATGGATATTCAGTAGGACTTTATTCTCTACCAGAACTTAGGCTTTATGAACGGTACATATTGCCCACTTATCTGCTGTATTCGTCCTAACTGGTCACGGTGTTAACTCTAGATGGTAATAGTTTAGATACGTAAAACCGACAAGACGATCGAATATAATTCCAGGAAAAAAATCATACACAGTCCATTCCCATCACAGAATCGGACAGACACACTATATACATAGAGAGAAATTGTAAGACAGATTACAGAAAATCGGATATCCATTTAGGCTGTGGTGGTTGTGGTGCTGGTGTCAACTGACGCTTTCTCTGTATATTACTCTGCACCTAACTCAAATTCCAAATTTAGTAACTTCGATTGTGCCCACGATATTCTCTTTGCTTCAAAAACTGTTTGAATACAATTTTGATAGTTCTGGGTATTACTAGTTGACATAACGAAGTCGACCACCTGTGATTACTGGATGATACTTCTAGCAGTATCATATCATTGTGCAAAGTCGTAGTGAACATTCTCGATGAACCTAGCTCTTCTCAGTCATCAAGAACATTACATTTAACAACCGCGTTTTGTTTTCTTTCGGGATGGCTGTGAAGTCAATAAAAGATTATCCTTTTAGTATTTCAGTTATTTTCGAAGGTCTACAAAGTTCTCCAGAGGCATACTGCTTGCTGATTGACATTGATAGTTTTGTTGCATATACAAAAATCTGAAGTGATTGGGTAATATAGTTTTTAAACGGTGACAGCACAAAACGTGTCACTTTCGAGCTTCCTGTGGAAACAAGAGCGATAAAAATTTATTTTAGGACATTAGCACGGTTATATGAGAAGAAGCAGCTTGCATTCCGTTAAAAGGAAGAATAGGTGAACGGTAATCATTCTGATCAATTTTCTTCACTGTACTGACTGAAACTACATCCAAGCACCGAACAAATTGTAGCGACCGTAAAAATCTTTGTTTTGATTAACATGAGCTGGCACTTCGTTATACCGATAATTCAGTTAACTAATCTGTTATCAGTTATTTTGCCTATTGCCTCCAAGGTCAATGGCTCTTACGGGACAACCATTCAGTGATCATATAACAGCCAACTGAGGACTCAATGCAAAGATCATAATAACAATTGAACAATGACCACGAAAAATTGATAAAGGATAATAACTGACTAGAGCTTGAAACTACAAAATGAAAATAAAAACAAGAGAAAACCAAAACATGCTGCGGGGAAGAAGTAGAGTTAATGGAGGATCCGTGGTTGAACGTTTTATTCTTACACTCAGAGTTCGGACTTGAATTTGTGGATTGATCAGGTTCTTTTGATTGCATAAATTGTTTTGAAGAAAGTGTTTAGAGTTGATCAACTGCTCTTACATTGAACTGGTGAACGTTAAGCATGCTCCTTTTAAAAGCCTCAGAGATCAGTGTTCTGAGGTGCGTTTGGAATGTAATCGTTTTGTGCGGCCAGTGTAACCTGCCCCATAAAAGCAAGAAAATAATCCTATCTACCCTCACTTATTCTATTTTATATATAGCCGAGTGACCCTAGTCTTAACTAATGACATGCGCGGATAGGAGAGTTTAACTTTTAACTGAAGCTAAAACGACGGTAATCTCCACTAGACCTCTGATATTTACACCTATCTCCGGTCCTGAGCTTACCTATCTTGATATTGTTGACGAACTTCAAGATGGGACAAAATAAGACTGGGACATTTGTTCACTTCTAGGTAATATAAGTTTCAAGACCCTGAGATCACCACTAAAGACTGCTCATTAGCTGAAAAATCTGAAGTCAACTATCACTTCCAACTCCCATCCTTTTGTTACAAATGTCACATGAAAATTTAGCAATCAGACAGAGCAGCACTATGCCATTTCTACATTTATTTGAAAGACAGAGAACATGATTTACATGATATCATGATCACTATATAACAACAGCCAAAATCAGGGATTGGATAGTGGTTATTGCACTGAATATTAAGTCCGAAGGATACCCTACTGGACTCACTTAGTAATATATCTTTCAGGTGAACAACTAATGAGGTAGATCAAGCAGTAAAGTAATGTATTATGTAATGATTAGGTAGTTTATAATATTGAAAAAATTACTAACCGTGAAACACCCATTCAGAATAAAATAAGTGATAAAACAAACCGATAAGAGGAATTTGACTGCAGACTAATGACGGATATTCACAAAAAAAATTTTAAACATGTATGTCCACCAAGATTTGTTGGTATAAACGATCCTGAGGGAGATGTTTAAACAGTGAAAATGCTAGAAATGGTGGATCTATATCGTAATGAAACCTTTAGGCATCATATCATCAGAGAAGTTACATTTCTATACTTTGTCAGAGATGTGGAGTAGACATTTCATTCGGAACCACTAGGAACATCAGTCGTCATGACCGATTATCAGTCAGAAAACCTACCAGTATCGAGACCAACTGATTCAGACACTATGGTTTGCCAGGCATAGTCTTCTAACTTTTCATGACTAAATGCTTCTAATGGTTGGCGACAGTGGGAAATCTACCATATATTTTATATACCCACGATAATCTTGAGGTATTCACATAAAGTGATAGTTTTTCAGATGCGAAATAACGCACCAAACCATTTTCGGACGTTCGAATCAATAAATTCGGAATAAAAGCCTTTAGCACTGCTAATATTGTCTCCTACACCTGATGACGATGTACATTGAAAGAATTTTCAGACGTGTCGTTTGTGGAGTGTTTTCAAATGCTTGCGCTACACTCGTCAGAATGTTGCTGGACAATGATACAGTCAGTTATGCTATTTTAATTTTCTTATAGAATTTCAGTTCCTCACATCCCTTCACAAGCTTTTCAATCAATCAAAGTCTAGCGGATCACTGTATATTACAATGAAAAGATGTAAGTGTTTTTTCTTGTACTGTATGTTTTCCTACGTTTAGATGATGGACGAGTTAAACCTATTCCTAAGCGGGTTCAAAAAGTAAAGGATGTTCATGTAACTAACGAAAATAGCTGTCTTCTCGAGCTACACTTGGAAACCAAAAAATTAGTACTGTGGTGAGTTTAAACTCACAGTAATTATAATTATAATTACTGTGTACTGGGCTTTGAAAATTATATTATGGAACGACCTTTTATTCACTTCTTCGTTAGTAAACGGATTTTATTGAAGTTTTCGGGCAGCGTTCGTGCGAGTTGTAGGCTTAAGCCTCCGTATTCGTCTAGTCCTACCTGGTGCCCAGACAACCCAAAAAGCGGAAATAAAGGCGAAGAAAGGGGAAATAAAGGGGTTAATGCTTCGGTAGCGAAAGGGGAAATAAAGGGGAAAACGCATCAGAATTTCGCCTGTCCGGGGGAAATAATGCGGATTTTCCCCTTTTTCGCCTTTTTGTCGACAAATTACCGACTTATCGCCTAAATATCCGCCGAATTGCCGCATTTTCGCCTAAATATCCGCCGATTTGTCGCATTTTCGCCTAAATATCCGCCGAATTGTCGCATTTTCGCCTAAATATCCCCCAAATCGTCGCATTTTCGCCTAAATATCCGCCGAATTGCCTACTTATGCGCTTAATTGTCTACTTTTAGCCTAAATACACACATTACCTCCTATTGTCTATCCATCGACAGAACCTTAAAGGTCTCCTATGTCCGCCTTTATTTGCAACAACATACCGAAGTATATCTGCAATGCAGTGGAAAAGCAGTAAATATTTTAAAAATTTTATTTAAAAAGAAAAGCGTATTATTGTACAACAGTAAAGCACAAGCTTAAGCATCGATTGTTATGCATATCCAATGCAATTGCTAATTCATTGTTATTTGTAATTATCTGAAAAACAAGGAACAGGTTATATTTTATTCATAAGGAATGTGCATTTAATCAAAAGTTCACTGAAACTCAGACACACATTCTCAACACTTCAACAGTTTCCCATGTAAGTAAAAGAGTAAGCTGTTTGAAAGAATAATGTTTATTGAAATCGAGGTAGAACAACAAAAAAATTGCACGGACTATTCAGAATTGAGGTAGTCCTCCTGTGAATTCTGAAATAAAAAAACGAACAAAAAAGTCACAACCATATCTCAATGACATGCTTTTGCACAGCTAAATACTTGAAGCTGAACTTACGGTTATGTTCGTTAGTATTGTTGACTGTAACTATAGAGCCGTAGGGAAGTTATCACTTTAAATTAGTACATACCGGATTTTCTTTTTTTCTATTTCGTTTAATCATCTTGTCTCGGATGTCGTGAAAGTAACCTTGTGTCGCTATGTCGTACAGCTTACCAAGGTCTTTCTCGTTGACAGAGGATGACAAAAAGCGATGAGTTAAGGCACCTGAAGTTTAAGTAATAGATATAGGTTACTTCGTATGCAGCTGTAAAACGTGCATTTCTGTAGTGCTCGTTTTGAAGAGGTGCCAAGTAACGTGAATTTACTGGCAACCTCCGGTGTCAGCAGATGCGACAGAACAAAACGCATGGACGTTTTTGGATCGTCACCTGATAACCTAGTGACCATTGCCATCTGTAATAGTAACAAATTATCAAATTCATGTAAATGACTTACAAATCTGTCCCTGGTTTCTTTCTGCGACAAACCAGTATCTAGCATCTGTAGTTCCTCTTCAGATGACAAAGGGAACTGCTGACTTGACAGTCCGCAATCGAATTGATGCGGTCTTTCGCGCTCATTAGACTTTGAAAGCAATTGGTTAACATTAACATTCAAGTCCATAATGGCGGACGACATGTTGTTAATCGTTTTAGTCAAGTCATTGATAGCTGACGACATCTTCAGCACCACAGTATACAATCTATCACAGGTGAAAAAGGTAACTAGATGATGTAGGTTACTTACTGGTCCAATACAGTGCCACCAACAGGCTTACATTGCGATGTGGATGGTGATATCTCTAATTGTGTTGAACTAAATAGTGAATATCTAAATAGTAATTAAACGTACTTGGCGATTGGCGATATCACTTTGTCGAAAACACGGAATTTTGGATATTGTACGCGGCTATTCCCAGCCTGCATTTCAGCCACATCCATGTCAACTGAATTGTAAAGAAAATCTTCTTTACGCTTCATTAAACCTCTAGGAAATGTAAGTAAGATTATTGTACAGACCTCTTTGGCTTCTCAGTGTTCAGTGGCAAAGTGTTTTCATCCGTAGAGGTGTTTTTCCGTTGACATTCCAGTACCTGTAGGGCAACTAACAGGTCTTTTGCTGACTGCAGAGAATCTATAGTGAATTATACTTTCTGTGTATGTAGCCTACCTAATTCGTGAATCACTTTACATTTCATAAGCGACCAATTTTCATTCGGTTGGTCGCACTTCTGCAGGTGTATTTCGACCAGCTCGTTCGGAAGAAGGCAAAGGTCATTGCCAACTATCCAGTCCTTTGATGCTATCATAAGTTGTTTTTTCTGTAGGACGTCAACAATAACGTATTTCTTGTTAGTGGGCTGAAAAGAACATAAGACGTAAGTAAATGATTTATCATCATTACTTAAACACTAATGAAACAAAATGCATTTACAATAAAGTATGCAACAATGGGATTACAACTATATAATTGATACAATTTATGGCTATACATTTACAATCAATGTCCTGAACCGATACCCAGGAGTATTCGTGGCTAACTACGGAGCACATAAAGATTCCAATATCACTAGATGGGAAAGGATCTTCAAAGTAATTGCGTGGGTCAGTGAAAGTCCTAAATTTTAGTAGTCCATCCTCCTTTATATCAGTGACTAAACCTGGCTGGCCGTTAACTACTACTACATTATCAGGCTGGCATGAAGTTATTTTACTGTTGTTAAACATAATTACTTGTTTAGTGGAGACATCATTATGGCCTATTGTGGTAGTATTTGTTAAACCACTAATTTGAAGCCTATCGCTGAAGGACATTCTCTCAGCATAACGCTGTGCTGCTTGCTTAGCTACTGCAAACCCACTACGCACGGAATCCTTAATTTTTCTCATATAAGACTGCCATGGCGGCAGTATTGTACCTAAAAAACCTAGATTGTTTTTAGCAGATGTATAACTCCACTGTATCACTCAAGTTGTTGAATGCACTCACATACAATATTATGTGAAATACCTCACAGTATTAAAATTGCTAACATGGTTGTTCTGATGTTTGGTGCACTGCTATTATTCGTCTCGTAAAACTCATTGGTCGGTACAAACCCAATGGTTGATACAGACATGAGGGTATCATATAAAAGTAAAGCGCTTCAACCTGTAAAAGTCATCCACCGTTTTTAGGATGAAACTCGTGATATAATTGATCGTCTTGTTAATACGACATCGTTATAGTTCCAGGATTATTATTGTAGAAATAGTCGTTCTGTTTTAGATGATGAAATAGCTCGTGAGTTATGATATGTTATTCAGATTCTAGATATCACTAAATGCTGTCTCCCCAAAGTTTAATGATATAACGATCCTCTTATTCAAGTGTCTTATTGAATAACCCATTTATTCATGTACTTAAGTCTCACTTCAAGAGTACTGGTCATCTAGTTTTCTAGGGTCCCTGGTTTTTGCTGCTTTTTCCTTTTATTTATCTTCCGTAATCCATATTACTTCAGTGTTAGGAAACTGGTATTGCTAATTGTTATACATTTTTACTGATTTCAACCAAACTCACTGATACTTGTCAGCTCGTTTTAATGTGTAAGGAACCGAATGTATCTATACCACTAAACTAGTATTGAGGATACCATGTTCTTATTCTTAGTTCGTTTATTCGAACGGCTGGCTCATCAGCCTCTAATATCTAACTGGATTATATCCATATCGTCTATTCACTCTCCAGATCACTAGGGATTAGGAAATGGTAAAATGGGAAACTCGAAATATCGAGATCTTTGGTAAAAATATAATTCTTATTATTCATTCAGTTAACGCACACGTAGGTCGCAAAACACTTACAAATCAGTTGGTCCATTGACTTGTGTTGCAAACTATGTTTGATAACGTATCAAGTCACGGAGTTGTATCATTTGTAAGACCCCAACCGAGAGATGATGGGCTTGCAGATGTTAATCCTATTTTACTATTTATTATACCACCGTCTTAGCATCGGGAAATAAGGCAGCCTTTGAAAACCGTTGTGATGACATTTGTATAAACATGACCGGGTTACTGAATTAGACACCAATTGAATTGTCATAACTGCCCGACATCACTTACACAATATTGTCACTGGATACGAACAATGCTTTTGAGACAGTGCTGACCATACGCCCAGGTCTCCAAACATTCTTAGCTCAAAGTGGTCAGGTTACACAAGAATACGCTAGAATTACTGTCGATGGTACAAACATCATGACCCCCGAGTGGCCAAAGACGCTAGCTTCCACTATATGTGTAGATCAGTTTGCCACACAACCCCCCTCGGGATTTCATAACTATCCAATTATTCCTAACTCGTCACGAAATGTGGATACATACCAGGCTCCTGCATGTTTTGCAGCAATGTTTGGTGTTTCGAAAGTGCGAATGAAATGCCGTAATTAAAGACTGTAATTCCTAACTGATTAAGTACGATTTCAATAATTTGCACACCGCACATTAAAACGTTGCCATCCTCATACTTGAAGTCAAAGACCCTCTTCTAGTAACATATCTACACCACCGTCATGTGCTGCCTTTAGAGCTGTTTTCAGTGTCACTGACAACAAAGTTAAAGGCGAGTGGTGAGACTAGGCAAACCTATCATATCTGCTACTGAAACGAAACAGTTAAGAAAAATGGCTATATGTTCTAACCTGCCTGATGTTAATAAACTTCCTGGGGGAGATAAATGTATAATCAACACGTCCATGACCTGAATAATACATATGTTCACTCCTCACGGACCAGTCCTCAGTTCAGCATAATCTATGGAGTATGATAAGCGTCAATCGTCTGGAAGAAATCAGAAATACACTTATACCCTCATAGGTGTTGAGTAAACTAAGTGGCTCCTTTTTAAAGATGAAAACGACGATCGCCATTATAACAATAATCAGTAACGAAAATAGATTTAAAAATATAATAAATCACAACCAGAGAATAAGAGAACACAAATTTAGGACTTAACGATATAATTCACAAGTACATGGAAGGAACAAATACATTTATGAGGTGTAAGACTAATCTCACTTTTCGAATTATTGGTACGAAAATTTGAATGCTTAAATAAAAGTTTCTGTAATTATTTGAAATAGGTTCACCAGAAGGACATGAATAGATTCAATCAAGCTTATTCCAATCTCCTGAAAGCTAATATTGATGGTTTGAAAAAACGTGATAAACGTGTAAAGTCGACAAATATATCAAGTAAACTCAATCGACCCAAGACAGAAAAAGGCTAATGCAATACATTATATTCGGGATTTTGACCGATTTCATCATAATTAATGTATTTATTTTCAGTTCTCTGTACATAATATTGTATTCAATTTCCGGTCATGTTGGTGATATAATAAAAATGTGGGTACCCTTAGACTTATCGTGTAAATTGAATAAATGGTAATGCTTTGTACATGTATAACTTCTGCCACCTGTTTAGTGGGCCTATAAAAAAACTGTAGAAACAATGCACTTCTGATCAACACCTTGATCTGTTTTTTGTACTCCGAAAGAGGTAAACTGGTAGTTTATATTTAATTCCAACTTACTACGAAATTGTCTGAAAAAAGCAGTCATAAGCAATTTGAGAACCCATCACAAATGTCTAATACTGAAAGTTTCATTACTAGAGTTAGATGCATACCAAAGTACTAGTTCTATCAGTAATAGATAGAGTTTAGACAGAAGCCCTCTAAGTTAGCAATGCTTTATCAACCAGCGAGATAGTACAATTCTAAGGGCACCTTGTGACTATCAGTTTGCTAGATATTTTCTGTTAATTCGGTATTACTTCCCTGGCTATGGGTCATTAGTCTTCAACAGATTACCGTAAGCTGGTTAAAGATAAACTTACACCATTGGATACTAATTCAGTGGTCTAGAGGTTATGCGCAAGACCAAAGGGTCTTGGTTCGGCGCCTCGTCGTGGAGTCATGAGTGTCCACTCCTGAGGAGTCTCATATTAGGATAAGACGGCTGTCTAGTGTCTTCACGTTCTCGATGCTTGTTTAACTTATATCGGTCGATGGTACCAATAAGACACTCAGATCGCGTAGTCATGAATGTTATTTTACTTGGCACACTGGAAAACATCTGATAACTCCAAGATAGCCCCTTTTCCTGAAATTTACTAATACCGATAGTATTTTGTAGTATATACTTAGGGTCACAGTATCAATAAAAACTTGAAGGGTCGGGATATTGATTTATTTATAGAAGAGACTGAGTAAAAAAACCTAAGCTTTAGCATAGAGAACAAGCAAATGGCCAAACAAGAAGTCAACAGTTGGTTAGATCAGGGAGGGATAAACATAACGTCGTACAAAATAATTTGTATAATAATTAAAACGAGTTATCAACAAATAGAAGTACATATTGCTTCGAGAAGCTATTTGGTTGGTTCCGATTTTCATGACTAGTCTGTCATACAAATAGTCCCTATACTCGAACATCAATATTTGGTATTCATATTTACAAGTAGATGGAATTAAATTTACATGATTTGATAGAAACAAAGTTGTAAGTGCCGAATCACTGCAGTCATTATCATTCAATTCAGGACACTGATTTGTCACTATACCAAGAATCTGAAAGTTATGGTGATACAGAAATCTCGATATGGTTGTGGTAGGCTCCAGAGGAGGGATTTTGTTTATTTTGCAAAGCTACTATTGAATTTCCATTAGGATGACTATGGATATTGGTATTTGCATTTCTGTAGGCTGGTTGTTCATCTTCGCAGAACTGTTCCAAACGAAAGTGGATTGTTGCGAAAGATGGTCGTTTATTTTCATCAGCTGCCCAACATTCTAGCATAAGGTCATATAATTCTGGTGGGCAACCGGGTGGTTTCGACATGCGGTATCCAGCATCCACTTGTCTGAGGACTTCAGCATTATGCATTCCTGGATAAGGAGAACGACCATATGTGACTATTTCAGTCAACAGAATGCCAAAAGACCACACGTCAGACTTTATGGTAAAACGTGAATAATTAGCTGCTTCAGGTGATGTCCACTTTATAGGGAATCTAGCTCCTGCATGTGCTACATATTCTCTGTTCTAGAATTTAAAAAAGAAATTAATAACAGCTTATAGATGTTTACATAAATGGAAGTGAAAATGGAGATTATAATATCCAAAAATAAAGGTCTTTAATGACTATTTACAACAGCTTGAAATCCGACTAAACCAAATACATTCGCGATTTCGCACATCAAATCAAATAAAGTAGAGATGAACTAGGTGTATAGAGAAAATATATGATACAACAGTGGGTTCGGTTTTCAAAGCATAGCATGGTAGAGGAGATCCATTTTAACACAAATACATTCTGTTGACAAGTTTTATAAGGTAGAAGACTTAATCGCAGATCTCTTATTGTCGTCCCATTGACTGTCTGGTTTGGTTAGCCATTGACATAGCCAATGGCCTATACTGCATGGAAAGGTATTCCCGGGAATCGGTCCATTTAGACCTATACTTATGGTGCATTGTCTGAAGACAACTGCAGGATATTGAGATATCTAACTGAGTCATGTGATCACGTAGCACTGCCAAAAATAATTCTAATTTCTACAGTCACCTTTAGCGTGATAACTAGAATCTGTCCAATGAAACTAAACAAAATTGGCATTTAGATAGCGTCATGGACTTCTATGTAATCGTCTCACACTCATTTCGTTATTTTAGTCCGATTGCTCGGTGTAAAAAACCCAATATACCTAGGAAGATTTGAATATTTCACATTTTGATCACCATTAATGTAAACTGGTTTCGCGACATTTATAAATGATTGAGTATATATCAGTGTGAATTTATGTACTCAAGCAACTTCTAAGATAGGAAAGCCTTCACATTTCCACGTTTTTTGGCACCAAAAACGAGTGATAAAAGTGAAAGCACTTTGGATTTACGGAGTTCAAAAATAAATGCCTGGTAGTTAAAGACAATTATGAATCGCTTCATAATACACAAGTACATATACCAAAATGAACTATTAAATTCATTAAGTGCCTACATAATTGAATCTACAAAATGAGTGGAGGCAACTTAAGTATAAAGGGAATTGTAATCCGAGAGTTATAAATTATCGAGTATCAATGTCAATATCGATAAATGTAGCAAAAAGTCATCGAGGTTAAAGATGGTTCCTACATTGAAAGCAAGCTGGTAAATTTCACACTTAGCATTACACTACTTACAAGTAGGTGCAATAAGTAAGTCACTTATTACAGACCAAAGTAAAAGTAACCGAACGATAGCTCTCTTTCACAAGATGAAGCTTATTTCCTCCCTATTTTCTACAGTTGATTGTTAAAAATGAAACAATTCCTCGTAGTGAAAACTGTTTGTAAAGTATATAGAAATAAAATCAAAGATTGCTAAAACATGAAACTAATTAACAGTGATAAAAAGTCCGCTGATATCTATGAAACCAAGTTCAAACATATATTCATTCAATATACCAAAATGTAGTTTGTCAGAAATAGAACGTAACATACCTAGTAAATCTACAGAAAAAAAGAGAACCTGATCAGCATATAGAAAACAGGTCGTTAGATGAGCTGACATGAGACCCGATGCAGCCTTCAAAACCAACACCCAAAAAGAACTATCAGAATAGGGGTTTGTGGAGATTGGAGTTAGATGTTAACACCGTTGGATGCCGGCCCAGTGGTCCGGAGGTTGGGTGTTCGCGCACAAGACTGAGTGTCTCGGGTTCGAGTCCCGCGTAAGGCATCGTAGACGCACCCTGCTGAGGAGTCCAATACTAGAACAAAACGGCCGTCCAGTGCTTTCGACCCACATAAAATAAATTAGAGTATTTGGAGGTGGGTGCGAAATGACGATAACACTATATATTATTTATATCAGCCCCCAAACGCCCTGGTACGGCTGAGAGTGGGAAGAGTCGACTCTCCCTCTCGGGGTGTGGCCCCCTAAATAACCACCTGCTTCAGTTTTGGCAACCAGGCACTATCCCAGCCCTCACAAAAATCGAATGATTTATGTAGCGCATATCTGTTTGGTGCCCCCTCGTACCAATGTTTATGTGTTTAAATAATGAACAAAGTATTTATATCATCAATAGCAACTAAATAGTACAAGCCGGGGATAGTTTAATTCTAGTCAGAGAATAGACTACTGGACATCAAAACTGTTAGAACGTTTCACACAAACCAAAAAGACATATCGATTCAAGTTGTCACACTTAATATCAGCAAAAACCACAGAAAATAAATACATAAATATACATCATATGTGTATCTACATTTGAATAAAACGACTATTTAAACAAAAATTGAAACCTAGAAACAATAAATCTGATTAAAGATAATACATATTTAGCTCTATATGATTCATGTTCACCAAGCACATGTACTTTGAATAACAGATGAACGCAAAATAATGTTTTATTATTAATAATAATTATTCTTACAATTAATTATCTACTTTGTCATCACTGAAAACATTAAACGATGGCAGGACTCATTGTGTAAATAAAACAAGTTAATGCATTAATTCATATTAGCGGTAATAATCACACTCTTGTAGAAAATCTTCCAACCACCACTTATTCTCATACAAAAGGTATTCATACAATTATTCTATAACAATGGGAAGCAGAAGTATTTGGTTTTTTTTTAAATCAAGAATCGATAAATCTACTGATTCTCGTGTAAATGGAATCCTCAAAAAATTAATGTAAAGCAGTTCAAAAAGTACTTTTAACGACTGACTTTACACAGGTTTATATTAGTGTAAGGAATGACCGTTTTTCGAAAATTTAGAATAGAATTAAATGAATGGACACACCAATTGAATACAACAAATCGTTGAATAACTAAGGGATCAGTACTGTTTAACTCGTTTGGTTCCAGAATTCAAGTATACATATAGCCATTCCTGAATCTAAATGGTTAGTTAGTTGCTGTCGATAATGAATAGAGCTTAATTTTCCAAAGTATTCAGAATCACAAAAGATTAGTAACACAATCCAATTTTAGGGATTAGAAGTTCTGATGATGAATCACTTTTAAATTATTGAAAAACATAAATTTTCCCAGCAATGTGAATTGCTATTATTAATGAGAAAGATCGATAATATTTCTATTTGAAGAGATATTTTTTTCTAAACAACCAAATTACAAACGATCATCAATATTTTTCATTGTGAGAATCAATACTGATCGATCAAATACACACATCATTTTCCAAAACGATTGTGTAGGTTTAAGTAAACTTTCAAAGAGATGGAAATATATGGTTTTTTACTTTAACAAAAGAATAATCTATGGCACCTTTCCAAGATAGAGAAACAATAAACTAGTAGAAAAGGTTTTTCTGGAACTTCTGGCATGTGAACGTGCGAAAATGATGAATGGATTTCCATATGTTGTTTTTTCGCGGTTAGGTAAAATTAATCTAGATATAACGGATAAGTTCGAAGATATATTGCATCAAGTTAATTCTCATACATTACTAATCTGTGGTATTTATCCGACGAACTGGATAAACAATGAAAATACGAAAATAAATTGCTACTATCAGGATTTTTATTCTAAATAAAACTGAAAAGTGCGTATACGTGCAGTCAGACTAATAACCAAGTAACGTATGAACTAGTTTATTAAGTAAAGTCTATTCAAACGATATCATCTCTATACTGTGCACTAATTCTTAAATTAGCTGACTTTCAATTCACGGTCTCCTAAAAAGTAGAGTTCTATGTGTATACTATCGCTAAGTTTCAAACTATAAAGACGCTACTTTTATTACTTCATATTTTCATACGTTTTAGCTCGTGAAAACCATTCTCCGATAACTTAAAGCTTCAACTAGATAAGTGTTAGTCCTATCATTTAATATTTCAATTATAGTAAATATTAAAAAATATATATATAGCTCCTGTAGGACAATTTAATACTTTTTCTGGTATAAATGATGTAAAGATTATGGTATTTTATCATCCTGGTCGAGATGAAATAAGCTATAACGTGTTATCTCCCCGGATGGCAGGTCAAAACAGTGTATATACTGTAGTTTATTGAGTACGAAAGTCGACTTTTGGAAGTCAAGAGCAACATTTCAATAAGTAATTCACCATTCATTCATAATTGAAGAAATCTTATTGTTCCTTCTCTATTTTTGATTGATGATAGTAAGTGGTTAGAACATTTTCCTGTTTAACGTGATAGGCTTAAATTATTGTTCAATATTTATTTTAATTTTAATATAAACAAAAATGGAATTTCTCTTTGTTTTCTGCCCAAGTGTACGTTGTGGGTTGGTTCTTTAAGATTATTGAACATGTACAAAAAATCCGTGTAAATTTAAAACAAGAGAAAACATTAATTTATATGTACGATTGTTTGTGTATTATAATCCATTATTTGGTTAAATGTTGAACCAACATTATTTAATAATTGATCGCGACTGTGTTCATAATATTTTTCTGAGAAGCGAGTGGTTAGTGTTTCGTCGATTGACAGTGTCAGCTTAAACTCTTTTTTGAATTATTCTACTCATACTTTATAACCATCGCATAAGGAACGTGAAGTTCCTGAAATATAAGTATGTCGAGTGAACCCATGAGTGATAAACGAAGTAAGAATTTCTAGGAATTAGTCATAACATGGGTACAGACGAACATTAATATGTAAGTGATTCTCCAAATTGTATTATTTAACTACTAATAAGTGAAAAGAAATAAGTAGAATATACAGTACAGGTCACAGAGAGAAGGTAATGTATAAATATGAATAAGACAAGAGTAGACAAATAAAGAAGGCACCATCAACACCAGCCAAGCCTCCATTATCTTCTTACTTATTCTTATTATTCAAAACAAAAGGGCAACTCTACAACACGATAGTTTTGGTGATCAATTCTAATTGACATCTAATAAATAAATCGTGAAATTCCACACTTTTCCTGAAGGATTCCGGGGATTTTTATTGTACCACGGTCAAACCATCTAGTGAGTGCTAATCATTGTACTTACTATGTTAAGCAGACAAACATATAAATCAGAAGCGTAATTGTTTAAAATCCATCGG